GTGGCAGGCACTTTTGGTCAGAATGTGCTCAAGGTTAGTGGCCATCTCTTCTGCCCTCTCACTCCTCAGACTCTAACTCTCCTGGGAGCAACAGATGACTCTGTGAATCATCCCCCTCATTCTCTGGGACAGTTCGGTAAACAGGCAAGGTGCTCAGTCCCACAATAACTTAGTACAAAGTAGCTTTCTACTAGTATGCTGAATTGTGTGTCCCACAAACACCCAGATTCCCCGGCAAACCTTTGTCTCCTTGTTGGAGGGCTAGACAATGAACCTGGGCACCCTGGAACACCAGGCATGGCTTATTGGCTGCTTCTTTCTGAGCTGAGAGATAGACTGGTTGTGAATACTGGCACCATCTCCATTTTCTGAAAGCCCATGGCACCAGTTAATGAGTGGGTGTGGCTCTTTTCTTTGCCTGTGGCATCACCCCCCTCTCCCCGATGCCACATATTGACCTGACAGGGCTCAGCAGTGCCTGGCAAATGATAGGCACTTAATGAATTCTTGTTGACTTGGCCTGATTTATCATCAGATTATGAGCTTGAGTAACTGCAAAGAGGGTGGTTCTGACAGCAATGAGGAACCGGCCTGGCCTGGGATGGTGTGGTCTATTCCTCAAGTCAGCGTAGACAAAGTGCCCTGCCAGGGCCAGAGTGGGCCCGCCGTCCAGGGGGAGTCCACGGGACAGTCACAATCACAGCTGGTGTTGATCACTTGGAGGTTTAAAAAAGAGGCCATGTGAGTTTATTTCATCACAACAACAAAACTGTGGAGTAGATAGAATTAGTATTTTTCTACCCATTTTATGGCTAGGAAAGCTGATTCCTAGAGAGGTTCAATGATTGCATGCGGTTGCTCTCCTTCTCAAGAACCATCAGTAGCTCCTTATCACCCTGAGGATAGAATGCAAACCCTTCTGGCTGGCTTTGAAAGCCCCTTCCAATTTGGCCTCAACTGCTCTGCCATACTGATCTTGTCACTCGCCTTCATATATTTTACTCCATAGTCAAAATGATGGGCTTCTATACATGGCATTTCATCTCCTGCTTCTTGGCTTTGCATAGTCTATGATCTTATAGATTATCAAGGGAGGATTTGAACATAGGTCTTTTCAAAGTCAAAGTCCAGAGTACCACACTGCCTTTTGACCCTAGGTGATGGAAAAAATGAAGTTTGTTTCTCTTTCCTCTATTAGGTCGTCCCCTTTATCCTTGCTGATGGAAACCCTCTCTGAGGATCCAAAGCTCCATTAATTCATTCTCTGGACTGCTCTGTCCCCGCTCAGCTGCTACTCTCGCTTGGTGTGGGAGTGTCCGCCTGCACGTTCTGGAGTATTGAGGTGCTGACTGTACGTATCTCTGAATGTGGGCTCCAATCCTGCTCTCAGATGCTGTGAATCCCTGGATGGGTCTCATTGCCTGGGAAACTGCCAATCACGCACGTGCCCCTGGCTTCCCCACAATGGACCACTTGTCTGGATGCCACTATCTGAGCCCCTGCTGCTGACTCATGCCTCTCTTTCCTGGCCATTGACTGGCCCCTCTATTAGAGAGGGATAGGGAGAGCAGGCAGGAGAGAAGAGACCAGAGCAGAGACAGACAGAGACAGAGAGAGAGAGAGAGAGAGACAGACAGACAGACAGACAGAGAGACAGAGAGAGACAGAGAGAGATACACACACACACACACCCACACAGAGACACAGAGAGACACGGAGAGACAGAGACAGAGAGAGACAGAGAGAGACAGAGAGAGAGACAGAGACAGAGACAGAGAGAGACAGAGAAAGACAGAGAGACAGAGAGAGAGAGAGAGAGCGCGCAGGAGAGAGACCTAAGCTACAGGAAAACTGAAATGATGGGCAGGATCTGCTGAGGAGAGGCATCTGAGCAATAACACCTTCCCTCGGTCAGTACCTAAGTGGACTTTAGTGACTACGTTAGGAACTGAGTGGTAGTCAGTGGGCTCCCAAGGTTTCCCCAATCAGAAAAAGGATGGATCTGTGAGTTCCTGTGCCAGGGCTGGGTCTTGGCTTAAAATAGGATACAACTCGTTGAGAAGGAAGCTGGTAAGTTGGTGTTATTTCTCTCCCTCCTAATTCTGCTGTCACTGAGAAAACCTTCCTCCACCTTGAGCGCTCGGGGTCCTGGGGGCTCCTGGTGCATAGCGCTGTCCTTTTGGGAGACATTTTGCCAGTCTGGTGCTCCTGCCAAGGGGCTGAGGCACGTGGCTGTGTGTGTCATCTGAAGAGGCTGTGACCACGTCTCATACATTTAGAGCTGGAAGGCCATCAGATCCAATTCCTTGATTTTACAGATGAGGAAACAAAGGCACAGAGATCTTAAGTGATTTGCCCAGAGTCATGCAGCTAGTAAATGTCTGGGGTAGAATTTGAACCCAGGGTCTTCCTGATGAGTCTAGTGCCCTATTAGGTCGCATTCCCTCTTGTGACAGATCTCCTCCCTCACTCCTGCGCATGCATCTCTTGGTATTTGCATTCTCTGAGTCCCACTCCCCTCTCCCCCTACCCCTGCCCCACCCTGGTCTGGTCATCTGTCTAGGTAACTCCCAGTGTGGAAACACTCTTTGCCTATCCACATTGGCATCCGCTTTGAAACTCACAGTCTTAGAATGCTCCTGGGGGCACTAGAGGTCGAGTGACGTGAGACTTGTTCAGTATCACCCGCTCAGGACGTGGCAGAGTCAGGATTGGAACCCGTATCTTCCTGAGTCTGAGGCCAGCTCTCTCTGTCTCCTACGATAGCGCTGTTCTCTTCCTGAGTTAGACAATGATGTTAACAAGACAATGATGTTAACAAGATGTTAACAACCGCTGGTGTTTTCAAGCTGCTTTCAATGTGGCACTGATATGATCCCATTAGCTGTTCACAACCACTGTGAGAGACACGGACCACAGGTATTAATGACTATGCCCACTTTACAGATGAGAAAACTGAGGCTCAGAGAGGTGATTCCAACTTCACTATGAGGAGGGGGAGCAGACAGGATGTGATAACAGGTCTGGGAGTGCTAGATTGCTTCACCAATAAGGACCTTTTATGTAGCAGTTTAAGGCTGGCATTACTCATCGCATGTTTTATCTCATTTAGGTTCAGATACTCCTTGGGAGGCAAGGGGGAGTCTGGATAGTATTACCTCCACTTTATAGATGTGGAAACTGGAGCTCAGAAAAGTTCAGTGACTTGCCCAGGGTCACATAGCTAGTAGGAGTCAGAACCCAGGCTTTTCTGGCTCTAGCTCCAGTATCCCACACAACCTCTCCCTCAGAAAAGCCATCACCACAAGGGTGATCTTGGAGGGGCATTTCATCCCCCCCAAACCTTTATCTACATTTTTTTCAGACTCCATCCCCTCTTTGAGTCCTAAAGTCTTTTTTTTTTTTTTTTTTTACATCACCTCCTATCTCCCAAGCGCACAACAGTGCCGTGGCAGTGGATGTGGTGGGGTAGGGAGGGAGAGGAATGATTCCGCTTATATCATTTTCCTACTGCTTTACTCAGAGGAACCTCCCTCTTCCCCTCCCCCTAGGATATTAATGCCTAGCAAGCTGGACTCATCAAAGCTGCTCTTTTCAAGGTGAAATGGATATTTTGACAGATAGGGAACAGAGCAGAACTTTCTTCTCTTTTTTTAAAAAATGTGATTGAGGCACCTGTGTGAGGCTGCCTTGGAACGTGGCTGTCACTGGCTCATACTGAGCTAATGAAGAGAGCACACTGTAGGTGGGGGGGCATTCTGGGGAGACCAGCACTGAGGCCAGTCGATGATTATCTGCTTACTAACCTGGCACCTGACAACTTCTGAGGGAGGTGCCCCTGACTTCTCAAGGAGCCTGCAGAAAGGTGCCCTGCACCTGACATTGGGAGCCCAGTAGGGGCTGGCTCCTTCTCAGCCTCTGCCTTTATCTCTCCAGAATTCCTCTTTCTGTACAGCTCCAGGCTTACAAAGTGTGCTCTGGCTCTGCCTCTTGTGAGCGATCTCTCTTTCTCTGTCTGTCTCATAATAACCCCCATTTATGTAGTGCTTGCCAAGGAACTAAGTCTTCTTCGTTACTCCTTCTCTCTTTCCCTTTGGTCTTTTTCTCTTTATTATGATAACCCAGATTTGTATGATGCTTTGACATTTACAAAATTCTCTCTCTTTCTCTCTCTTGTTTCTGTCTCTATGACTGTCTGTCTCTGTCTATCTTTTTACGTCTCTTATAATCCTATTTGTATAGTACTTTATGGTTTACAAAGTGACCCTTGCCTGTGTCTCTGCTTCTAAAAAAGGAGATAATGTATCTGGACCACTTTTTCCAATTCTCTTTTCCAGAAAGACACCAGTTCTGGAAACAAAGTCAGGTGCATTCAAGGTGACTTCAGAGCGTCTGGTAAGCTTGGATAATGCATCTTGGTTGAAACTCAGGGTGATGGGAAGGATGCTGAGTTTGTAGCCAGATACCTGGGGCTGAGGCTGGGCTCTGCCATTCGCCGCCACCTTGGGCCAGTCAGTGCAGTTCTTGGGGCTTTTGCTTCATTATCTATAAAATGATGCATTGGGACAAGAAGATCTCTAAGGTCACGTTGGCCTGGCATCTGTCATCCTAGGATACAGATGAAACACTTGTGATCGGCCAATTCTTTCTTTCTTTCTCTTCCTTCCTTCCTTCCTTCCTTCCTTCCTTCCTTCCTTCCTTCCTTCCTTCCTTCCTT